ATATCATATATATATATATATATTATATATATATATATATATATATATATATATATATATATATATATATATATATATATATATATATGTCAGCATAGTTGCTGATCCCTGTATTCCCAGTATTATATAGCATAGCATATTAGCATCATCCATGTGCTTTAGACACGAGATCCCTTGTAGGCCTGTGGCTTTGTGTGACGTCACGGATGCACACGAGGAAGCCATTCCTCTGTCCCGGCCTCACTCGGCGGCAGACGAACCAGGCGTAGACAGGCAAGGCAGCTGGGGCTCCATCCCTCATCTCAGTCTGACAATACATTTACCATCCTACAAGTGTGTCTACTTTCAACCTACGATATCTCCATTCAAGAACCCTTTACGATATATATATATATATATATATATATATATATATATATATATATATATATAATATATATATATATATTTATATATATATATATATATTTGCGTTGAACCAACTCATAATCAGAAGATTGCAATGTTGAAGAAATGAGTAGATTATTATAATCAAAAAGAAGCGCTAAGCCATAGGGGCTATACAGCGCTGCAGGGCAGGAAGGAAGTGAGGGCATCAGGTGGCAAAAGGGAGATGGATGAGTAATAGGTTACGGATAACAGTGGGGCAGTGGATGGTGAAAGGGTAAAGGGCAGCAAGAGACTGAACTAGAAAGGGCTGAGGGGAGTGCGAAAGGTATCATCATCAGAGTTTGTGGAGTAAATCAGTCGTTGTCAAGAAGTCAATGAGAGAGTCAGGATTAAAGGAGGGTCCATCAGCAAGAAGGGAAGGTAAAGAGAGAGTAGTAGAACAAAGACGACGTTGGAGGTAAATTCTGCGTGCTCGTTGATAGAGAGGGCAGTCTAACAGAATGTGGCTAATCGATACTGGAACTTGACACTGCTCACAGAGAGGAACAGGGCGCCTCTCCATGAGATGCCCATGAGTAAGACGAGTGTGGCCAATGCAAAGGCGGGAGAGAGTGGTCTCCCAACCTCGGCACTAATGACAAGAAGACGACCAGTAACCTATGCTTGGTTTAATAGAATGAAGTTTGTTGCCGAGCAGAGTTGACCAACGTTGTTACCAACGGGTGTGAAGGTGGGTAGCTATTGCAGCAAAATAGTCCAGAAATGGAACACCTCTATAGGGGATACAAGAGCCATAGAGATACAAAGGATGATCGGAGATGACAGAGCGTCTAGTGAAAATAATTTGGTGAGTTTTAGTGCTGGAAAATTTAAACCCATGCGTGGTGGCCCAAGTGGAAACACGGTCGACCACATGCTGGAGAGAAACTGCAATGAGAAGACAGTCAGTGCCTGCACAAGCAATAGCGAAGTCATCAACATAGAGTGATGACCAAATATTGGGTGGAAGAACAGAGGCCAAATCATTTATAGCAAGGAGAAAAAGTGTTGTGCTCAGAACACATCCCTGATGGACACCTTCAGCTTGGACAAAGTCCGGGGAAAGCACATTATTGACTCGAACACGGAAGTGTCTGTCATTTAAAAAGTTCTTAAGGAAGGATGGTAGATTGCCTCGGAGGCCTAAGGAATGGGCCTGGGCCAAAATATTATACCTCCAAGTTGTGTCACATGCCTTCTCAAGGTCAAAAAATATGGCAATAACTGAGTGATTATTTGCAAAGGCATTACGAATATACGTATCCAAGTGTAGTAAGGGGTCTATGGTAGAACGGCCCTTACGAAAGCCATATTGACTAGCGGAGAGACTGTTGTGTGTCTCTAAATATCACATTAAACGGCGATTTACCAGACGTTCCATCACTTTGCAAACTGCACTAGTAAGAGCGATGGGACGATAGTGGGAGGCATTATGTCCTGTAGTACCCGGCTTGCGGAAAGGGAGAACAATGGCAGATTTCCACAGCTGGGGAAGAACTCCTTGTGCCCAAATAAGATTGAAGAGGTGTAAGAGGACTACAAGGGCTGATTGATGTAAATGTTGTAACATACGAATATGAATTGCCGATGATCGGCAAGCTGAGAGTGTTGCCTCCAGTTCCTGAAGTGTAAAAGGCACATTATACTGTTCTTCTCTGAGAGAAGAAAAGTCCAAGGGTACTAACTCTCTGGCAGACTTTGAGGAAAGAAACGAGGGGCATAGATAAAGCCTCCGGGAAATACGGACCAGATGAGTGCCAATTTCAATGGTAACATCAAGAGGGTTTGCTACATCAATACCGGCGACCCGTAGAACAGGAGCTGGGTCAGGAGAGTATTTACCACTCAATTTCCTCACTTTTTTCCAGATTGCACTCATAGAGGAAGCAGAGGTGATGGTGGAAACATAGTCTCGCCAGCAAGTGCGTTTAGCATCACGGATGACACGGTGAGCGATCGCACGCTTCTGCTTAAAATCAAGAAGTCTCTCATTGGTTCTATTGTATCGGTACCTGCCCCACGCAGCGTGTTTCAAACGTACTGCACGAGCACAAGCAGGAGACCACCAAGGCATGCACTTCTGAGAATGCTTGCCTGAGGTTTGGGGTATAGAATGAGAAGCTGCGGTATAAACTGACGTCGAGAAGAGGTGTAGAAGCTCATCAATGGAGGATGAAGAAGGAACCTCACTAAAAGCAGTGAGCTGCGAGTAAAGGTCCCGATTTGCCCGATCAAATTGCCAGCGGGGGCTACGGAAAGGTGGTGAATATGAAGGAGAAGTAAGAATGATTGGAAAATGATCGCTGTCATGTAAGTCCGGTAGAACAGACCAAGTGAAGTCTAGTGCAGTGGAGGAAGAGCAGACTGATAGATCGATGCAAGAGAGAGTATGAGTACGAGGATCAAAATGGGTGGGAGTACCCATATTTAAAACATGGAGGGGGTGAGAGGCGAGAAAAGCCTCCAACTGGATGCCACATGAGTCACAATGAGACCCCCCCAGAGGAAATGGTGGGTGTTAAAATCACCAAGTAACAGAAGTGGTGGTGGTAAGGATGAAACAAGAAAGGCAAAGTCTGGGATAGAAAAGAGATATATATATATATATATATATATATATATATATTTTATTATAATATATATATATATAATATATATATATATTTATTATATATATATAGAGAGAGAGAGAGAGAGAGAGGAAGAGAGAGAGAGAGAGAGAGAGAATAAAGAACATATTGTAAACCACTTATTCAAGTGGATACGGGCTGCAGTGTAATGCAGCGAAGTATGGACAAATAGTTGACAGTACGGAATATCATTGCGTAGAAGAAGGGCACTTTCATTAAAGGTCCCATCTGAGAAAGGATCCGAAGAATACAATAAATTATAGCCTGAGATAGGTTGGAAAACAGCTGAGTGTAATTTTGGTTCTTGTAAGCAAGCACCAACAGGGGAAAACCTGGAAAGCAACATCTGAAGCTCACCCCGATTACCCCTGAGGCCGCGGATATTCCACTGTAAATAGGCCATGATTGGCGATGAAGGAAATACCAGGAATCCGTAGGGAAAGGCACCTACGGACTAGAGGGGTTAGAAAAGTCAACATGTGGTGGCATTGGAAGACATTCAAGCAGCCAAGGAATGGAGCATTGCAAAGAATGGGGTTGTGAAGATGGAGGAGAGGGAAGAGAAGGAACAGGAAGTGAATCAGTGTCCATTGAAGGTTTAGTCTCTGCAATATATTCTGAAATGGCTTCGAGTGTTTCTGAATTCAAAGATGTATGGGAGACCATATTGGAGGTAGAAGGGGGAGGGTGAGTAAAGATTGGGACAGTAATGGACTGTACCAAAGTAGAGGGGGACGAAAGAGTGTAAGGGACTGGAGATGAAGTGTGGGGGAGAACAGAAGAGGCAGAAACCTGGGAGGTGGCAGAAGAGGGAGAAACTTGGGAGGGGATGGGGGTGGAAGGCATAGTACGAGGAGGAGGGTGAATCTCCACACTTGTAATAGAGCCAGAGAGAGGGGAAGAACTAGGTACAGAGACTGGAAAGGTAAAGTGTGGAGGTGGAAGAAGGGAAGGAAGGGGCAAAGAAGATTTGAGCAATGTGGATTTTTTGGACTTCTGAGAAGTAGAGGGGCGATTGGTATAAGGTGTCGTACGAGGTCTTGTCGATACTGGGGCTTGTGAGGAAGGACGCGAAGATGTGAAAACAGACTGAGTTGTAGTCGGGATGTCAGAGCCAAGGACAGCAAAAGGATTAAATGCCAGAGTGGCTATGGGAGGGGTAACAACAGAGGAGGCTGCAGAAGATGGGACCCCAGAAGTGGGGGGATGTTTTGAAACACGAGAATAAGAAACACGGGGTAGTCTCCCTTGGAGGGGGAGATGAGTAACTGCCATATCATAAGGGAGACCTTCTGCCTCTTTGAGGCAACGGATTTCACGTTCATTTAAGTAGACCTGGCAATGGCAGGAGTACGAAGGGTGAGCTTCATTACAATTAAGGCAAGATGGAGGTTGACTGCAAGATGTATTAGAATGGTCGTCGGCACCACAGACTGGGCATTCGGCTATAGATCTGCAATATTTCGCTGGGTGACCAAATCGCCAGCAATTTCTACACTGTTGCAGTGTAGGTATCACCTTTCGAACTTGTAACCGATGTCCCGCGACATATACAGAGGACGGGAGTTCTCGGCTGTCAAAAGTTAAACGAGCCACATTGCAAGGGTAACGTCTCCGCCCCCGGGCAGGAAGGACATAAGTGTCTACTTTGAGGATTGGGAGATCCTGGAGTTCCAGCTGTTCAAGAATGTCATTGCCACATGACTGGAAATTCTGTTGGACTGTGGTATGGGGCAGAATGACAGTACCACTACAAGAATTGAGAGAAAGATGTTTTTCAATAGTGATAGGAGTAGTATCGATATTCGAAAGGAGAGAAAGATCAAGAGCTTGGGTAGCATTCTGGACAATGACGATGCGAGTACTGCTCTTGAGAGCATGAAATGAAATGTCTCTACCAACATGACGCAGGAGTGCTTTGCCAATACTATGGTCAGAAAGGTAGGCAAGAAGAAGTCGGTCTTAAAGTAAAGAATTTAGTCCATTGTGTGGTCCGGAACTGAGCGTGGAGAGGGAGTGCATGACGTGTCGGTCTTTTCCGAGTAGAATGGGAAGGTAACGAAGGAGCATCATCAGGAGATTGACGTTGGCGTTTAGGAGTAGGACCGGAGTTGGTCTGGCGTGAAATGGGCTGGCGATTCAAAAATTGCCGTACCGTAGAGGGAGAGGCTGGAAGCATAGTCAAAGGAGAGCGGAGGTCAAACAAATCGAAGGAGTCAGTCGAAGCCCCGGTACCTGAAGCAGGTGAGGAAACAGCACCAGCAAGAGGTACAGGGGCATCAGGAGTGTCTGAAGAGTGGTCTAAAAACAAGGCAGGGTCAGAATGGGGTGCGGTATCAAGAAGGGGTCCGGGGGTAGTGGGTTCATGGATTGGGTTCTCCATGGTTAGGTTACTCATTTGCTTTTTGTTTTTAAGAAAAAAAAAGAAAGGAAAAAAAATAAAAATAAAAAAAGAATAAAAAAAGGGGGGAGTGGATAGGAATAGTTCCCAGGAGGAATGAAAGTGCCGGAAATCTCCCTCTGCACCCAAGAGGACCTCAGCACCGCTAGTAGCGCAGGTGCAGCATGGAACCCGTGCCATACCCTACCCTTCATGCCAGTAAACCAGCAATCCGGGATAGCAACCTCACATCTGCCGAGCTACCTCGGTGGACAAAAGAGAGGGCGGCCGGATATCCGCCACAAAGCATACCTCCTTCGGCCACCACCCCCGGAATCTGAAAGGTGGCTTCCAGAGATACACCCGTCGCCCGAAAGACACCCAAAGCTACTCCGGGATACCGGAGAGGGATCGGGACATCCCCAGGCGATCCAGATTCCACAGCAAACTATGCCACCGCCAAGAACCTCAACGGAATGAGATGGACCCCGGTATCCTTTCCCCTACCTAGGAACTAGCGCGCCTGTGGGAGAAATCCCAAAGGCCAAAAAGAGGAAGGGCAAAAGGGAGGGGTGGGGAGGAGGAGGAGGAGAGGAAAAAGGGGAGGATGGGATAAGGAGGGGGGGATTGGGGGGTAATTAGGTTCGGTCTGAGGAAGGAGACCGACAGGTCTGACTCCTCAGACCAAGAGCCTCTTCACCACAACAAGGAGCCCCCTTTGAAGAGGAGAAATGAGTAGAAAGTCCAGGCAGCGTCGTTCAGGGGAGTGATTCTATTCTGGATAATCGTGGTGGTGTTTTGTTCATCAGGAAACAGGACAAATGTCTTCTGACACGATCAAAGCCAGACAATGACTGGCTCAGCGATGAAGCACCAGCTGGCCTACCCTACCCCGTTGCCTGGTGGCTAAAGCTCTCGCTTCACGCGGTGAGTGTCCGGGTTCGATTCCCGGCGAGGGTACAAACATTGGGCGTGTTTCTTTACATCGGTTACCTATGTTCACCCATCAGTAAAATGGGTACTTGGGTGTTAGTCGACTGGTGTGGGTCGCATCCTGGGACAAAACTGACCTAATTTGCCCGAAATGCTCAGCATAACAATCGGCTTTCTATATAGTAGTATGTCATAAAGGTCAGCTAGGCCTGTATACCATATACATGTACTTATAGAAATAAAGATATATTATTATACAGCTAGGGTTTTATCCCCATTTGGAAAACAAGGATCACTGACTAGCAGTGTCCTAACATTGAAACCATCAGTGTTATCTGATAACTATTGTGGCATTGAAGTCTGTACCGCTGTACAGTTAATACATATAGAGTTTTGGATTAATTTTGAGTTGAAATTATTATGAGCATGTGAAGTTAAATCATAGCATTCTGTTAGTAAGTTGTTTACTTTACACAACTTGTGAGTGAAGAACTTACTAACAGAATACCTACAGGTAAATTACATTTATAATTGAAAAATTCTGTTAGATATGTACTTGTTAGATATACTTGGCCTATGATAACCCAACAATTCCCCAAAACAATTTAAATCCATGGATTAATGTCTACGTGTGAAGGCAGACACAAACTGCATTCTAAGCTCCCACTGGGGCAACCCTTATCTCTGTCTAAAGCTTTTTAGGGTTCTGCAACTTGTCTTTATCTCCGTACTTGTCAGCAATATTCTATTTCGTTGAGTTAATATCTAAGTCTTCAGGAGTGGTGCCGATCCTCTCCTAGTTCTATTTAGATCTGTATAATTAGTAGTGATGTAGGCTTTCCTAGTTCTATTTAGATCTGTATAATTAGTAGTGATGTAGGCTTTCCAGGAGTCTGGATGGTCTGGGTTGAAGAGTGGAGATGGAACAACAGTACAGCGTCCCCTGAGACGTCTGGTGGTTGGCAGGTGTTGGTAGTGGTGAAAGGTTGTGTTAGTGTGCACCTTGTGACACAACTCACAGAGGCTGCCCTTCAGAAAGGGACGCAGGAACCCCCTCCACACGTGGTACCTGAAGTCAAAATATAATAACTAGCATTTCCTTCGCAGCGTGAACCGAAAATAGATGACCCTTGTAATCCTTTCCATGGATCAGACCTGACTGTCTCTCATTCCTTCATGGCTTTATCACTCCCTATGAATACAATAATAATAGTACCTTTAAGAATAATTCAAGCATTTATACATATTAACATCCTCAACAGGCTATGTGACTGATCAGTATCAATAGTAAACCCTTTCGCTGGTGCAGTAAACCAGAGTTTTAAAATTGAAGTCAAACGGATGAAGCGTTTTCTAGTTACAAAGTAAAGTTTACCAGAAAAAAAGTTCAGGCAACCACTTTCAGGGATACCCAAAACAGTGGTCGTACCTTCCGTAAGCAACGGGGTCGTTATGAAGACGTAGCAGGAGGGCAGCCAGCTCGCTGGGGTGATATCTACGGGCGTCGATGTATGAGTGAGGAGGCAGGTACCTGGTGTAGTTCGCTCCTGAGGAAGAAACAGCGACTCTGTCTTGGCCACAAATAATCCACACTTTTGAGAGGAAAACTCCAGATGACGCTTCAGTCCTTCCTGGAATACTAGCAAGTCATCTACACCGAACCATGTCTCTTATTGGCTAGCACTCTCCTACGCTCAAAGCGTAATAATAATAATAAATAATAATAACAATAATAATAATAATAATAATAATAATAATAATAATAATAATAATGATAATAATAATAACAACAACGATCTCAAACACTGATTGCAGTCTGTAATGAATGTCCCTTTTTGTCAATTATTTCTTTCTGATATTCCTATGATCTATGCTAATATTCTCCGGCAGCTACAGTAAAATATCTACGGAGTGTCTTCGCTGCTATTGTACTCTGTTGCTGCCACAAAGACTGCTACTTTTTCCTTGTCTTGTCGGTGGGCCGTAAGACTCAGTACTTCTAACAGTGCTGGCACCTTTCTGGCTGGCAAAAAATGAATAGTCATAATGTTTGCTTTAACTGCTCAACAAAATTGCGAAAACTTACTCTAAATATATAAAAAGATAATCAGTTAATTATTAATATTATTATATATATATATATATATATAATATATATATATATATATATATATATATATATATATATATATATATATATATATATATATATATATATATATATATATATATATGCGATTTCATAGCATCCTTAACCACACGCAGATCCATACATAAGTGACCAAGTGCTATGTTGAGAATGATACACGATAGTTTGGAAGAGCTAGAGTCACTGAGTACTTTATAACAGCATTTGAAAATTTCCATATATTTTTTTAAGGCTCCAGACATATGCTTCTAACTTTTTTCATGTTTCCGGAGGTCTATGTGAGAGGGAACATACAAAAATTTAATTTTAATCCCTTTGTAATTAATTTGTACTCTTCTGTGACTGGCTTCAAACACAAGCATGTTGCATTTAGATCTTAGGCTATTCATAGTAGGTAATGATTATAGAGAGTAAGATATTTGCAAACTGAAGTTGTAGCTTCTACAAGCCTGAGAGCAATACTACCGTATCAAATTCTCAGATTCAATTTATACTATTATATGAGGGGAGGGACCATTCTGGGTGCCATTCAAGACGTGTTCCAGCATCTCATCATTTAAAAATCTCACAGTCCTTGATTGTAAACATAGAATGGGCGGCTTTCTTTTTTCCTGACAATGTACAACTTCTACCAACATCTTCGGATGTTCACGACATCCACTCCCCACCCCCAACCTTCCAAAGTGCGTAAACTCCCTCATATCCACAATCTCGTTCATTGCTACACCCACACATGTTCTCTAGCACACTCACTTGTTCACTCACACCCTCAATCGACCACAAACTTACCGCCCCACACGATAGGAACAATGTTGTGAACGATAGGATTGTAGAGCTTCTCCGTGATGTAGTCGTCGCAGAAGGCGTTCTCCATGGACAGGTAGAAAGAGTAATTAGGTTGCATCACATTCACCCAGCAGGCGCCTCCCATGATACTCTTCGGCCCACATTTCAGACGTCCGCACTCCCCGTACCTGCCACCACAAGCTTGGTCGGGTCAGGTCAACTTTTAAGCTCAACCATAAATCAGGTCAAGTCAGACTAAGTTCAATCATTATCGGAAATAACCAGGTAAGAAAAAGTTAAGCTATGGTAGGTTTGAGGGCATTGTTATTCAGATCATAGAGGAAAAACTGGTGGTGGGTGTCAAAGTCAGTAGTGACTGTTCCTCAAGCATAAACTAGTTCAGGTGGGATCAACTCGTGGTAGCTTCATGTATAGATACTATTGGTTATACATACAATGGAGTGTTGCTCCAGTGGTCAGCTCGTGCTGTAATTAAAATAATTGTTTATAACATCTGAGAGTGTAATTTCCAGTTATGGTCTCTTACTTGTCTTGCATCAATAGTAAGACAACTCTCCTAATGTATCCTGTCTATTGCCGAGGTGTTGCAAATGTGTCTAATTCCTCATATCGTCTTTACTGTATACCCTGTCTATGCCTTAAAGTATATTTGTGTGCAATGATCATATCTTCTTTTCTGCTTTATTTCAGTGAGGGGAAGGTGTACCATTTTCCATTCTAAATAGCTCTTGGCTCTCAGTTCAGGCACCAGTCTGAATACACCTCTTAGGAAATTTTCATATTTCAGTTTTACTTGGCGGGGGCTTCACAGTGGTGCTGCATACTCAAGACTGTGTTGCAAATATGAGGAAGAAAACGTTTTGAACGAGTCACTGTCTAAATTCCTGAATGTCCCTCCCACGTTCGTGAGCTAAGCCAGTACTGTTCATGCTATTATCTTCGACTTGGTTTCGGGGGACATATTTTGAGTGTTGGTTATTCCAAATTTCTTTATATTTGTTTTTCCTACTGTGCTTCCCTGTACCCGTATCCTGCCCCTCGAACTATGCCTGTTCATTCTTTCAACTCCTCTTATTATTATGTACGCCGATGCCATATCTACACTGGATCTTCTATACTAAATGATGTCAGGTTTAGTTCTTTTTAGTCTCATAGTTCATACCCTTAGCTAATTAGTCTCGTTGCATGAGCATTCCAGCCACATGTAATACTCACGTATCCACAGAGAGGTACTGCTTCAGTTTAGCTACGTACTGCTCCCTCTTGGACCTGGTGGAGCAGTGGCCAGACATCCAAGCCACCACGCGGGGCTTGTTGACGTAAGTAACCCAGGAGGGTCCCAGAACCTCCTCCAGTGTGACGCCCCTCGCCAGCGCCTTCTTTAAACGTCCTACAGCTTCCCCGTGTTCGCTCATTTGATTCGGTCGTAAAGGTCTGGGAGAAAGAGAAGATAACAGCAGAGGATTAGAAAAATAATTTTCATAAGTGGATAGATACCAATAAATACAAATTTACTGTTATGATACTATATACCACCCCATCTATTACTATTATGACTGCTGCTATTATATGTTCGGCTGCACCTACTACATGAGCTTTACGACTACAGTTACTTAGTCTTGTATCACTGCGACTATTAACTATAGCTCTAAACGAGCGCTTAATCGCGGAACTCTGGCACTATCAATGAATGTAATGGTAATAACCTTCTAGAGACGAAGAACCCCTCTTTAGTTCACACTGTAGTGGGCAGTGTAGAACAAGGTGGGATTGACCAGATAGTTGTAGGTGAACGAGATTATACGCAGATAAGTTACGTTACGAAGAATGATTATATCAGTGCCAACACACTATCATCCCCCATGCTCTAGTATGTCTGCTCTAATTACCACTCATTTGTAAGCTTTTTACATCAGCCTACATCATGTAGGCTTCATATACAAATACTGGTACAATTTAAACAGTACTAGCTGAATAAGTGTCAAGTTTTCAATGAAAACTATCACAGTTACTCTTAGTAAGTTCTATGGCTAGTACTACTACAACCACTGTATCTACGACTAACACATAAATATGTGCTATGGTTTCCACATCTACTACTACTATTACTACTTGACACTACACTACTATTGGAACTGCCACTAAAACTACTATCACTTCTACTAATATTTCTACCTTAAGAACATTACTTAGTTGTCTAAAAAAAGAAAGAAAAAGATGTCACACAGCAGGACGGAGAACCAGGAAGTCAGACGGCAGCATATAAGATGACCTCAGTTTAAACCCAGATACAATTAGTGATGGCTTCACTACAACATATTGGCACACTATTTAAATCGAGGAAACTAATTTTATTTCAGTAGCCATACCTGAATGCTATCCGCATAACCAATGCCAAAGTATCACAGACATCAGTGAACCAACACAAAAGGAGTGGCAACGCCATACAACTGGTGCAGTCAAGGAGAGAAGAAAATCCGCATATGTGGAACCTAGCTCCTTATAAATTATAATGATCATACTATTCGTGTGTATATATATGTCCTTCAACCGAATTGTAGCAGAACACACATGGCAACGTGGGAGTTATTTCGAACGTTTTGCATTATCAGTGCTAACCTACTTACGGTGGATTGAAAGCGCGTCAAGATCCAAAAATTAGCGTAGCGTAGCACATGTGACAGTTAGTAATGTTTATTCAATAACGTTCGTTTCTTATACAGTGACTTCTTCAGTCGAACACAGAGACAGCAGAAGCAGTAGAGATCTAAAACGATGTAATCAGTCCATCAGCCTCGAAGATGTGGTTTTGACGTAGTCAGTCCCTCAGCCTGGAACAACTGTTCTGAACCATGGAGCAGAACTCTTCTCCAGGCTGAGTAACCACCTCAAAACTACGTCTTCAAGGCTAATGGACTGATTACATAGTCTTTAGATCTCTACTGCTTCTGCTGCCTCCTCTGTTTTCGACTGAAGAAGCTTAGCGTGTAAGCGAAACGTTTCGGAATAAATATACCTAACTGTTGCACGTGTGCCTTACTTATCTACCTACATCATGCATCTCGGTTGTGCAACGCTGAAATCCATGCTAGAAGACAGATTTTCACAATATAGCACGTCAGTGTACCACAGCAGATGGCAGTGCGCTACCATCCAGAGTCCTCCCACATCA